CTAATAAACTGTGAGCTAGCTCACACTAACTCAGCTTAGAGGGAACACTGGTCCGGGGGGAGGGGGGGGGCAAAGCTAGGAAAACCCACAAGCCAGGTTTGGGACCCAGAGAATTGCGCTTCCTCCCATTGCCAGAAGAGGGAACCCCTTCACTGTATTCCCCCCTCGCCCTGTGGCTCTTGCTCAGCGCAGGTACGGCAACACTAAGACCTGACTTCCTCCGGGTTAGAAAAGGCTGCTCTGGGAAAGGGCCCATGATACAAGCAGATCCCTGCATCCAGCCCTCGTGGGCGAGCTCTCCCGCCGATGTTCACAATGTCCCCTAGATCACTAGAAGAGGCAGCACCTCCCCCCACCCACTGGGGTCCGCATCCCTGCCGCTTCTCTTCTTTTCATAGGCGGTTAAGAGAAACACAATTTCTTCTTGCAGGCTGGAGAAAATATGACGGTAGGAGAAACTGGTCCAGCATCACGTCTATAAATGTGGGGAGCAGAATCCTTTTTTGCCGCTCACTGTGACTCTTGACAAGGAGGTCTCACGCGTGCTGCAAATGACAGGGTGGAGACTATCGGGGGAGGGACGTGAACGGGCTCCGTAGGCTCCAGGTTAGCCACGGAAACGTACCGCGATATCACGCGGGTGCCCTTGCCCGTGCCATTGAACGGAAGGACTACATCTTCACCAAATCTGAAGTAGTTGCATGTCAGGACGGGACAGGGCCGTGCCTCCTCCCCCCCCCTGGGTCCTCATCCCTGCCGCTTCTCTTCTTTTCATAGGCGGTTAAGAGAAACACAATTTCTTCTTGCAGGCTGGAGAAAATATGACGGTAGGAGAAACTGGTCCAGCATCACGTCTATAAATGTGGGGAGCAGAATCCTTTTTTGCCGCTCACTGTGACTCTTGACAAGGAGGTCTCACGCGTGCTGCAAATGACAGGGTGGAGACTATCGGGGGAGGGACGTGAACGGGCTCCGTAGGCTCCAGGTTAGCCACGGAAACGTACCGCGATATCACGCGGGTGCCCTTGCCCGTGCCATTGAACGGAAGGACTACATCTTCACCAAATCTGAAGTAGTTGCATGTCAGGACAAACTGGGAGCGCTTGGTCGCAATGTCGCCTGTGGGGTTGTCAGGCACTCTCACAGGCGTCGGGGACGACGACGTTTCCTCACCTACAGACAGCCTCCTAACCTTAAACGACATCTCACCCACAGTAATACCCTTCCTAACACAGATATGGACTCTGGGACCAGGGCCTGCAACGAACCAAGATGGCAACACGGTCACCCGTCTCCACTCTGTCAACAGTAGTCACTGACAAGGCTCCCTCTAAGCTGTGGAGTCTTGTGAGCAAAAATTCTACTTGGTGAGCTCCTAGCATTAAAGTTGTGAGCGAGGGATTTGGCTGCTGCGTGAATTAGTTTGCTCTGGAGCCCTCCTTCCTGAGCTAAGACAAAAATCTGTGAGCAAGAGGCTAAAAAACTGTGAGCTAGCTCACACTAACGCAGCTTAGAGGGAACACTGGTCACCGAACCGAACAACACCAGCCATGCCATTTTGGGTTCATTCACGGGTTCATCTTCCGGTGTTATGTATGCCGTCAAACGGCAGCAGTGCCCTTTCGCTCTACATCAGACAAACCGCTCGTTCCCTATGCGAAAGAATAAATGGACATGAATCTAAAAACCACAACACTCAAAAACCAGTGGGAGGACTTCTTAGTCTTTTAGGTCAGTAGTACATTGCTGACCTGAGAGTAGCAGTCCTAAAGCAGACAAGCTTCAGGATGAAATTACAAGGGGAGACTGCTGGATTTGAGTTAATTCACAAGTTCAGAACAATGGAGCCCCACCCCACCCCACCCCACCCCCCGGGGCTGAAT